GGTAGAGCTGTAGGCTGCAGTGGTTATCCTATAGAGAGAAGCTGCACTGGTTATCCTATAGAGTGGTTATCTTATAGAGTGGTTATCCTATTAGAGTGGTTGTCCTATAGAGTGGTTATCCTATAGAGTGGTTATCCTATAGAGAGAAGCTGCACTGGTTATCCTATAGAGTGGTTGTCCTATAGAGTGGTTATCCTATAGAGTGGTTATCCTATAGAGAGAAGCTGCACTGGTTATCCTATAGAGTGGTTGTCCTATAGAGTGGTTATCCTATAGAGTGGTTATCCTATAGAGTGGTTGTCCTATAGAGAGAAGCTGCAGTGGTTATCCTATAGAGTGGTTATCCTAGAGAGTGGTTGTCCTATAGAGTGGTTATCCTATAGAGTGGTTATCCTATAGAGTGGTTGTCTTATAGAGTGGTCATCCTATAGAGTGGTTATCCTATAGAGTGTTCATCCTATAGAGTGGTTGTCTTATAGAGTGGTTATCCTATAGAGTGGTTGTCTTATAGAGTGGTCATCCTATAGAGTGGTTATCCTATAGAGTGGTCATTCTATAGAGTGGTTATCCTATAGAGTGGTTATCCTATAGAGTGGTTATCCTATAGAGAGTGGTTGTACTAAGGAGAACTTTGTGTGGATGCCCGAACGTCATAGAGAGTGGGGAGTGGTGGTGCAGTCCTAAGTGCGCTGCGCTATTAACCTAATGAAACGAGTTCGATTCCTGCTCGTGGCCAACACCAATTACGATTATCTGAACCGGTTCTAGGCCTCTCCTAGGTAGACTCAGCCTCAAACGAGTACCTGGAGCGATGTGTGAACATTGCCACTCGGGAGATAAAGGTGGCCGGGCGTGGTACTGGCCTCGTGTGCCGTGACGGCCTTCATAGATGCTTGTTCGTAGCATTTGCCCCATAATCTGGTAAGGCTATATGGGGGGGTCTTTGTCTTTATTCTACAGAGAGAGTTCTAGAGGTTATTTTGGGCCACTCTTACATGCCGGCAAGATATCTTGGAAGATGTGGGAATACCCATACGTTAGCCTACCATCCGTGGCCTGCCGATCAGCTAATGGTGTGATCCATATATATATTGTTCGGTGAACAGAGGCGATGGGATTTAAGAAACGTTCCCATTGGTTCAACTGCCGCGCCGAAAAATGGAACTGGTTAACTGTGAATTGCAAGTCTGGCGTGTAAACCATCGCACCACAGCCGCATTGCCGGTCTCCATCGTGGGGCCGAGGACATATCCAGCACTTGCTAACGTGCTGGGGGGGGGGGGAGAAGCACCACCATCCATTGCTCATTTAAAAATGGGGGGGGGTAATTTTACTCTTCAGAACAAACATGGTATCCAGTGTGTATTGGCACGGTCTGTGCTTTCTAACCATATTTCCGCGTCGTGTAAAATAACAATGCATTTATGTTTTTTAAATGCCGTGTCAATTGATTGCACTTGGCTCTCTAAGCCATTTTGGACCCATGCGCTTAACTTTCAACGATGCGAGTTGAATGAAGTTCAAAGGACCTTGTGAAAGATCCAACGCAAAAAATACTTGGGTTTTATCTTCCACGAAGCTCAGGATCCACCCGAAAACCGCATCCACTACACAAACCATGGCAGATGCGGATACCTGATGATGCACAAATGGAAAATTAAAAAAACTCTCCGGTAGCGTGCGACTGTGATCATCCAGAACAAATCGTGCAACGTATAACGACGCAGTGCCCGATCCACAAATACGAAGGAGACATCACCGCAGCGATACACTCCGCCGCTCCTGACGCGGTCGTCTCTGGCACGACCGCCCGAAATGCGAAATCGTAGTCGTAGATGCTCTGCACCATCTACATCATCAGGCCGTACGAACTTAAGAAAAACTTCTCTCTCTCTTGCGAACGAGCTCCTCCCGGCATCTCCGGATTTGACATCTGGCCCAGCGAAAGACGTTCGGAGCTCTCCGCAGGATGCTGAACCCCGCGTGGCGCTTCGCTCGGGCTGCGTCGTGACGCGCGAGCGCCGCTGTGATGCAACGCAGCGCCCGGGAGAGGAGGATGGTCGACAGCGGCAGGCAGCTTCCTGTGACGCCTGCGAAACGTATTCCACGCCACGGATCCTTTCCCATCCGCAGACGTGGCGCTACGCACGTGCGTTGGGAGATGTAGGCGAGCGTCATGGGATATATTAATATATATGTAACAAAAATTACTGCTGTAATCGATACTAGGCATGTGTCGATTCACCATCCACCAAGTGTTTTCATTATTTAGATTAATTTGGCTGCGTCACATTTCCGCATGATAAGCCACTTCGTTTGAGCTATCATTTGTGACCAGGCCACTTCTGAATTAGAAGCTAATAGCTCAGTGGGCTTTACCTGGTAAAATAAAATAGTTGAGTTTACTTTGTGTATATTTTTGGTTATTTGCTTCCTATACTTTGCACTCCTATCCTGTTTTTGTATTGCTTGTTGTCGTTAACATTCTGATCCGCCTCTACTAGACATCTGTGAAAAAGATCTTTATAGCTAATCGAATTCCTCCAGTATACATACATAAAAAAAGAATTATGATTCTGAAGTACTTGAGTTACCGCACGAAGCTGGGCAGGTCTTTGCCAGAAACTCGCATTTCCACTCGATCCAAATTCTGACATAGAAATCAGAGCAGGCCCCAGGTGACGAGAGGAGAACTCGGGCTCTGGCCCGAGTTGGCAGCCCACTTAAGAGTAGAAATAGGGTGAGTGGTCGGGGTGAGGGTGGGTGGCTGACAATTGGAGTGTATGCTCGAATTCTGCGGTTCATTGAAATGTGGTATTATTGTTGGATAATCCACCACAGTTTGTCAGTGTGTGTACATTATTCTTCTGGCGCCTCAATGTTGATCAAGAAAAGAGAATATATGTTGCGACAGGAACACTGCTTCAGTGGGCCTTCAGTTGGCTTCATAAATAAGAACAATTGCTTTTCAAATTCAATGTACAAAGCAAAGTAAATTCAGTTTAAGTGTGTGACTGAGTTGCCAATGCTGCCACACGTCTTCTGAGTAGCACGTCACACCGAGCATGCTTTCAGTGCGTCTTGTGATTTGTGTTTCCTGTGAATTGTGAAGTACCGAGCGTTTGACCGTAAACATCTCCAGCGAGTGTTTGCAGCAGCAGCTTGTGGTTGGGATGTATTTGTGGGAATCAATTCAAGAGGCGAGCTACCCGTGTGGTTGTCACCCGCAGGTTCCTATGGCCTCAACGACAACTGAACAGCTCTCCAAGTCTACCGAACTACACATGCCATACGTGTGCTATACACGTGAAATATAAGTGCACATTTAGAACCTCCGTCGTTCAAATGCCACCCCTTCAGCTCGACATTAACCGCGAGTCTCCCTGGACACGGAGCTCGCCTTCGCGCCGCAGAATTGCCTCTTCGGTCCGCAACGTTGCGCGCGTTACAAATGGTTTTATTATTATTATTATTACAGTCGTATGCCATACACGTGCATACCGCAGTGCCGACTGCGGGTATAACAAAATCAGCTCACGTGTTGCATCACGGGACCGAGAGAGATTTTGGCGACAGCTTGAGTATTGCGCTTTACCGTCGAGAGGTGGATATTTCTGCTTGCACTATCTGGAACCCCTCCCCGTGGCCACGTGCGTTGTTAGCTTCCTCTCCCTGGTCCAGTTCATGAGTTAAGACCTCCCTCTGTTTTTCTCCAGGTCTCCAATTAAATATGAGACTTCTGGTCTCAGTGGGCTCTAACCTGGCAATAAATAAAAGTCACCATGAGCGCGTTTTTGTTTCCTTTGTATGTGACTAACATCTTTCTCCACTCTGAACCTGACCCATTTTTATAGCACTGCGGTATAAATCCTGACCTTACCCCTGAGTAATTACCCCATATGCAGGTCTACCCATCGCCCCTTGCTGCTTCATCATTAAAGGTTATCATCTATCCACAGCTGGATGAAGGTCTCTCCAAGCCACCCTTATCTCTCACGGTTTTGCAATGCGACGAGTCACCTAGATCTCCAACATGAGCGTATTTTATGACTCCATCTCCATAGCAGGCTTAGTCTCGGTCATGTTCATTCCTGATTGCCCCCCCCCCCAGCTATCCCATACTTAATGTCCAATCTCTGATGTGCAGCATTTTCAGATACGCTCATCAACTCATTTGGTGGCAGGAATTTGGAGTGGCCATCTGAAGCTGGGAGCTGAGGGATTGGCTTAGTAAATGCACAACAGAATTTAAATGTCAGAATCTGACCTCATGCGCAAATGAGCAATGTGTTCTGCTCATCTGTACCGGTGGCCCTTAGCCAGCTGTGGAAATTCCGCATTCCTGGGAACAGCCTGTCCCTAGGTCAACAACCATTGCAAAGTGGTATGAATATGAATAATATATGACCAAGAAGGATGATGGGTTAAATCTGAGGTATTACATATCCACAGTGAGTGACGTGTTCTGCCACTTTCTCACCCACCCAGCCGTCTTACACAAAAGCAGACTTTGTTGCGGAAGGAGTGGGGGGGGTGTGCCCGACGGATTAATTTAATATTCAGTGGCCGCACGCGGCCTACCACTCCCATATTCATCTGCCACTGCAACCATCTTGATGTTCATGAGGATGACATATCCATCGCTGGACGCATCTTAAGCCACACTAATCGGGCACTTGAGGGCAACACTGTGTTTACAGTGTGAGCGCACTCAAGCCAAGTCTGTCATCGCAAGGGCCCCTTTACGCTCAGTGCGCAACACAGAAACGTAGCTTCGCGTCGTTATCAGGCAACGCACGTGTGTCCCGACAACCTCACCTCTTTGGAACTGCTCTTTTCAGTTTAGTTTATCGTCCTTCGCCCCCGCAATTTCGATTGGCGCGGTTGGCTACATGCGGTGCGAAAGGAGTTCAACACGCACATTATTCACACACATCGCCAAACTAACGTTTTACGGCAAACACGTTTGCCGTTTCTCCGTCCCGGCATCTCGCGCGTAGAACTACGGGCGGGCGGCCATGATGCGCGTGGCCGTGCCGGTGGCGGTGAGGTTCCTGCGGAGGGGCGACGCGGAGGTGTCGAGGAGCATGTCCAGCGTGATCGCCCTGGCCGCCATGGGGCAGGCCCCACTCCTCGGCCAGCACGTGGAGGCGGTGGCTGACAGCGTCATCGCAGGTACCCGCGCCACGGTGGCCAGGGGGACGTTGACCAAACTCTCCCCGGGTGCGCGAGGAGGTCGTGGGTTCGATCCCCGAGCCTGACGCCTGCTGTTATATTTGGGAGTTTGCGTGTCTCCTCTCTCTCGCTCTCGCTCACCGCGTCCTCCGGTTTTTTTCCCTCCACATTTCTAATCAACGTGCATTTAGAGAATTTGGCTGCTGTAAATGTCCACACGAATCGGGGATAAGCCACTTCGTTGCAACTATCATTTGTGGCCAGGTCGCTTCTGAAAAAAGAGCTATAGAGCTCAGTGGGCCTTATCTAGTAATATAAAAAAAAATAGTTTAAAGTTTAAACAGTTTTTAGTTTCAAACGTCGCCAGGTACCCCTGAGCTGAGTCAGTAGCGAGGTAAAGCCACAGCCCCTGAAACTTCTCGCGTACGACACTATTGCCACTGTATTTTAGTGGGGCTCTCTAGAGCACCTTGGCCTTACTCTGCCATGATGGCCAGATGTCTTGGCAAATGTGGGAGTACACACACTCTACACCCCACAACATTACATAATCCATGAGCCAGCAGTGGCATTCCATATTCCCAAGGGTTAGGCTATTTTCTTGACTTTAAACAAGGAGCCATGACTTACTACCCTATGTTATGACACTGTTGGATAAAGGCCTCCCCATGCTGTTTTTGCTTGTTTTGACCAAACCTCACCACGTTGGTCAGTGTGGGCTGATGGAGGGGGTGGCAGGGAGCAAACATATGGGACCAGGATCAAAATCTAAATGATGGAATAAATTGGATAATTGCATTTAATAAACATACAAATGTGCCTAAATAGGGAAAAAATCTTACAATCAGTGCACCTCACCAGCCATGAAATATGGATCAGGAACATATCACTCGACACCAGCGTTAGCCGTGGCTGGGAATGAAGGTCATGTTTCTGGATTCATTGTGCGAGCGTGCTAACCACTGCGCCACCGCTCCACCCCCATATCTGTATATCTGCCTTTTATACGCATTTACTTATCTCTTTTTGTGCGTGTTAGACTTGTCTGTTGGGTGAATCAATGATTCATTTACACACTTTTACAGCATTTTGCTCAAACCAATTGGAGTTGCACACGGAATGTAGCAGGCACGGTCCTCCCGATCGTGATCATTTTGATGCCTGAGCCTCAGGCTGAGACACTTGGATTCGTAAGGATGTTTTACTCTAGGCCTAACAAGCAAATGATGATGATGATGCTGCTGAAGAAGGGAATATCCATGACTATAAAGCAAAGGCGGATAAATGGATTGTGTGTATATGGCATCTATTCATGGCCTTCCATTGACAAAGACGTGTTGCTTCAGCAATTTCATTTCCGTTGTTTGCGCGTAGCACACGAGCACACACAGATAACACACACAGATAACACACACAACACAAAAACGGGTGATTTATTCTACTTAATTTAATAAAGCTATGGGACACAGAGTGTGCATTAGGTACGGACATTTTCTCAAACAATAAATTCCAAAGAGGTCTATACCTCGGTGACTAAAACAAATCACCGTGCACGACTAACAATTGTAAATCGTATCCTTCCTACGATTAACAACAACAACCATAAAATGTTAAGTTTAAAAACAGTAAATACTTGCAAAGCACGGAGTGGGCTTTTGCAGTTGAATACCACTTAGAAAGATGCCTACATATTTTATAATTGTTAAAACATAACGCACCTTAGCCTCTGTACTAAAGCAATGTATTAAGGCGAAGAAAGCGGCTGAGCAGAGGTATGATTGTAGCTGACACGTGTTTTACTGACACCATTCCGTACGATTGTCGCATTCATCCCCAACACAGCGTTACTTTCATGCACACGCTACATTGCGGAAGGGATCTACATCGAGTTAAAAAATTACGCGGATAAAAAATATACAAGAATAACTTTCTCTCGGGAATTATAACTCCCGAGTGTTGAAAATGTCCACTTGAATACTTTCTTTCAAATATAGTCTTTTTAAAAACACAATTGTTTATATTGTCATACATTTTGCATTTATATTGGGTTAAGTTAGACGAACAAAGATAGCCTTGTTGTTGATACCGTAATGAACGGCACTGCTACCAATGTGTGGGACTGTTGATAATGTATGTTGCTCGTACGTTGAACTTCTTTTGCACCGTACGTAGCCAACCGTGCTAATCGGAGGTGCGAAGTAGAGTAGGAAGGACTGATAAGTGGGACTTGTTTCACACGTGAACCGCGTACGTGCTCATGCAGCTGAATGCTTTCGTGGGCATGCACAATTTGAGTGTGTGCATGTGTGCATTCATGCTCGTGTGTCTGCAGTTAGGTGTCCACTTTATTAACGTGAGTACCTGGCAAAACAAATAAACATCACTGGGGAGACAAAGGTTGGCCCGGCTGTGGTTACTGGCCACATCACCCCCTGCGTGTGCCGCTCCAGTCTTAATACGTGCTCACCAACAGCACGTGCTCACCAACAACACGTGCTCACCATCAGCACGTGCTCACCAACAGCCAATGTAAGTTAGATAGAGGCCGTTTTTGTCTTCGTAGCTAGTCTGGTGATACGTCGGCATGCAGGAGTGTGCTCGGCATGTGGTTGCTAAGTCAGAACCGTGTCTAATATCACTCCGATGGCAATGTTTACTTGATGTTGAGTTCGATAAGCTGGCTGAACCTATGCAATACTCACCGCCGTCTTCGATAACGTGTTCATGCATTAGCTAGCAATGCTGTAGGACATTATTAAAGCATTGGCATTCTGCTAAGAAGTGGACTCAAAAAGTAGTATTTTTAAAACAGGCATTTATGTGCCTGTATGAAGGCCTAAATCGTCTCTTCTTGCTATAGTCACATAGGTATCGAAAGCAAAAATTATCACGTTTGCTCATGATCTCTCTGGGTGTCTTGGTTGTTGCATACATATATAATTGGTGTTTGATGCCTTGGGCTGTTACGGACAGAACAATCGAGCACACCGTGAGGTGCTCATTCCATTCTCAGAATTTCAATGTAAGTGTTAGTGAATTACGTAACTTCATGAGCTTAAATGAATGCTTGCGGTTTCCTTGAAAAATAATCAACGCGTGTGTTCAGCCGTAATTAATCATCCAAGGCCTTCCCTCTAGAAATAACACCATGGCGATAGGAGGCAACGTTTTTTAGTCTTACAATGTTTTTTTTTCATTGAACAAAAATATATATTTCACGTCTCTTTCTTCTTGTTAAAATTACATGAAGTCAGAAAGACTTATTTTTTTTTACATTTTGTTTTTATAAAATGAAAGTTATAAGAATAGTGAAGAAGTTTGTTTTCAGTGCATTAATTGCCGATGCCATGGCCGTCTAAATTTTAGCTAGTTACGGTTATATATTACTTTGGAAGTGTTTCTGCTAATTGCTGTGTTTTTTCAGTTTACAAACATACTTTTGGCTATTAAAGCATACATCAATCTAAAATATAAAAGACACATTTTACAAATAAATTGTTTTAACGAACAGTCATATACTTTGTTCCAGACATTCATTATCTGTCAAATTGGGCTTCTGGATTTTCGTTAAAGATGCAAAGTACAACTCCTTTCATAAAATACATTTTTTCAGCCATCTTTCATGTACACACTTGTGGCTTTAATCATTTTACTTCGAAGTAAAATTCCTAGTTCATAGAAACAAGTCATGTAGTCATGCATATAGATGTCCACTTTCCATTGCAGATCCTTATTTGTGACATGATGGCCTCTACAATTTGTTACCGTTGAAAATATATACTTGCAATGTATAGACGTAAAATCCAAAGTCTCCTTTGCATCCATTTCTTTCTTTATTAATTACAGCAAAAGGGAGGTTGGTAAAAGTACCGTATTGTATTTTTTAAAGAAGTTGAGCAGATATTTAAATTTAAAATGAAAGAGATAAAAAAAATATTGGATACAAAATATTAAGACAAGATATATGAACTTTAAAAAACAAAGGGTTTGTTTTAGGATGAGAAACATTGCCACAAGTGTCCTAAGTGTGGTCTAATTTTTAGGTCTGCTTTATAATTCATAAACATCCGCATAATTAGATTCATAATTGATTATTTTTTTGGGTCAGATTTCGTGAGTAAAATGGGTGTTGTAAACCCCCTCCACCCCAAACCCAACAATTAAACCTTTCCCGTTCCTACGATGTACGTGTGCGTAATCGTTTTTTTCTTCCAATTCCGTTCCGATGACGTACGTGTGTGCATCATCGAAACGAAACCGGAAGAAACATGAAATAACTTTATTGGTACCGAGGCTCCCACGAGGGGGCGTGGCACAGTTTGGCGCCAGCTATCGCAGAGCGCCGGCGTGTCGCTGTGGTTCTCTGCGGTGAATGCAACGTCTTCAAAAACAACGGCGCAACGCCTCTCGAAATAAAATTAATGCCGAGCCGCTTGTGCGTTCCGAGATTCAGAGGTGAACGTGGACACCCGCCCCTGCAACTTGCGGACGTCTCGGGACGGAAAAGGGTTAACTAAAGTTGCCACGTGAACAAATGTGCCACCGATGTATTACTGCTTCAGCGGCACCAGTCATGCTGTCGGGTGGAGGAGGGTGTACGACACACATTGTACTCACGCGGCGATCTGACCCGAAAACAAATCTATTACGGACCCAAAAGCCCCGGTGTCTTTATTCGTTTTGTCATTTTTGTTGTTGAATATATATTTACCATGTGCTTGAAGTATAAGCAAGGTCAACATTAGTTATTATATATATAAATATTCCCTCGAAAATAATATTTAATTAATCCATTACATAAATCTGAAAAAAAGTGACACTAATAACTGCCAAAACCTGGAATAAACAATACGAAAGGGATATTTATTATTTTCCATTTGCTCCCCCCCCCGCCCCCCCCCCCAATTATAATGATTACAACTCCCCCATTGGCGTTATCAAAATCATCACGAGACAAAGACATTTCCTTCTGGACTTCGTTTGCTCAAGAGAGCGTCACATTGTTCAGGGAACGGGCCCCCAGAAGTTGACCTCGCAGAACTACTGCTGCAGTCGCCTCGACAGGCCTCTCTCATCACACCCCCTGGCGCTGCTTCACGCAATGTGAACATTTCGTGATATATGACACTCAAACTAAGAAAGACATTACTCTGCGAGGGATGTAATTTGTTAATTGAGTAAAAAAAACAAATTAACTTTAAACAATTGCGTGTTTTTGTTTGTTTGTTTAAACAGTCCATTGCCAATTGGCTCGTTGCATATGTGAATTTGATTTAATCACAGGCGGGTGGCTGGATTCAAACCCAGGTACTCAACAGCGCTGGCTCTGTGTCTCCTAAACGGGCATTACGCACTCCGCCCCCTCCACCCTACACCCACCCAAGCCACTCGGCTTCATCATTTTGACAATATCCCTTTTTGTTTTCAACAAGGCAATTGCTTCAACGTCCGCAATTTCTCCGGCAGAGCAACCGGAGACATTGGACAAAATCTATTCATTTATTAACTTACAGGCGAATAAGGAGGGGGGGGGGGGTTGGGGGCTGTGGGGGACGCCGCCGCCGCCGCCGCCGACGACGACAATTCCTTGCCATCTCACAGACAGACGAACGAGAAAACGACAAAACGCGTCACAGGTGGCGGATCTCTCCGCCGCCGCCGCCGCCTCGCCCTCCGGCTTGCGCCCGCCCTCAGTAGAGGTTGAAGACCGCGCCGCCCATGGGGTGCAGCTCCGTGACGCCCCACGCCACCACGTTGCCCTGCGCCCGGCATCCGCCCCTGCCCCCGGCGAGCTTGGCGATCTCCTCCGACGGGAGCACGTGGTCCCACACGTTGAAGCCGGCGAGGGCGCCGGCGAACGCCAGCTCGGGGTCGAAGCCGCCGCCGCCGCCGCCGCCGCCCACGCAGCAGCCGTTCTTCTCCTGGCCCAGCTGCAGGACGCCGCCCGGCGGCACGACGAAGCCCCGCGCGACGGGCGAGCCGTTGTGCGCCGTCAGCTGCCCGTTCACCCACAGGGCGAGGTCGCCCGACTCGGACTCCCAGGCGCCGCAGTAGTGCGCCCACGCGTCGCGGGCGGCCGCGCCGGCCGCCTCGGCGCGGCCGCCCCCCTCGGCCGCGTCGTCGCCGGCCACGGAGAAGACGGCGCGGTCGCCGCTCAGGTAGAGCTGCAGGAGCCGCGGGGAGCTCTTGTCGCCGTAGCTCGCCAGCACCGTCTTGGAGAGGGGCTCCGAGGGGCGCGCCCACAGGCAGAGGGTGACGGCTCGCAGCTCCGCGGGCACGCCGGGGTCCACGCCCACGGCGATGGCGCGCGAGCGCATGGGGAAGTGGAGCGTCATGAAGCAGCCTGCTCACGCGCGCAAACGTCGCGACGGGCGGTGGGGAGAAGCGCCTCGCCGTTATCGGGGTGGCCCCGTACGCGCGACGGAGCTGTGCTTGGGGGGGAGGGGGGGGGAATGGTTCGTTGATTCGTGCGACGGAGACGTGGGCGTCTACGGAGGGACGTGGCGATCAAATCGGTTCCGAACCCGGCTTCGCGGCGGTGACACAGCCTCGCGGAGAGGGTGCCACCGCGGCTATGAAACCGACAAACGATGCACAGCGCCCGCCGCGGTCCTGCCCGCCGGCCTCTCTCGACAGAAGACCAACGTGGCTCTGGCGGATTTCCTCGCCTGGTCGCGAGCGGGACGGAGGCACCTGTCGCACGGGTGGAGGTGGGGGGGTGGAGGGGGGGGGGGCGTTTGGGGCGGGCGCGCTTACCTGGAGGAGGAAAGAGCGCCAGGCTCCACATGACCTTCTCTTCGGACAGCGCGAGGTTGTTGACGCCGAGGGTCTGGGCGACGTGGCTGGGCGGAGCGATGAGCGGCGGGTCGTGCGCGGCAGGGATCTCGGTGGACTCCTGCGTGACGCGCAGCAGCTCCAGGGAGATGGCCTGCACGTCGGTCACCAGCTTGCCCAGCAGGCGCTCGATCTTGTCAAACTTGCCGTTCGTCTCGCTCTGTACAGTCCGCGGAAGTTGGAGACAAATGTCAGGCCCCGGGGTGGTGGTGGTGGTGGAGAGGGGCGGGGGCACGTCGGATCCATTCACGTCCCCCCCCCCCGTTCCTGGTGATCGTGTGCGGGCGTTACGTTTCGGTTTGCGGTTTCAACTCGGGAATAATTGCCGTGGGATTTTGTGCGGTTGGCGCCGCGCGGCTCCCCGATGCGCTCTCGGGTTGCACTGCGTGTCGCACGTTCGGGCACGGACGGAGTCCGACGTTTTGAACCCACACGCTGGGGAGCTTCGTCAGGAACGGAATTGGGCGGCTCACTCTCTCCCTCGATTACGCGATGTTTATGGCTGCTCCACACCAGCTAAACTCATTTCTTTAAAACTGCTTTTAGTGTTTAGTTTGTTGTCCTCCTCCCGCACCTCTGATTAGCACGATCGGCTTGCGTACGGCGCGAAAGAAGTTCAACATGCATACAACAGCGGCTGCCAATGCAGGAGGCTGCAGTTGTAAGATGCAAGCAGGGCCCGAGTCATTGGATCATGGACCTGGCTGTCGTGGGCTCTCCCCACAGTGGAAAGACCTCTGGCCTCTCTTATGCTCAACGTGATTGAGAACAGAGCCCAGATCATTGCAGGTTCCAGCCACCAGAGGCTGATTAAGGAAAGGCAACACATTTACTTATCTGATGCCGTGGCAGAAATTCCATGGGTTTTGAGTTCATTTTTCCCGGAGGTTTGAATCAGCCCATTGTCTCTCCAAAGTTGATAAAGTATGAGGCCTCGTTAGTCGGCGGAGTCTGTTGCATCTCACTAATTGGTTCTCATTTTAACAAGCCCTGAGCCAGTAGTAGTAGGAATTTCACATTTCCACGATTGGGGTCAATTCCTCTCTCAGAAGGAGATGAGTTCGGTTGTGAGGTGACGCGTCGGCTTTGTTGACTTAAGTATATTATAAAGATAATTAATGAGTCAACGAGCTGAGAGTGGAAAACCCAACGCACACGGCAAGCCTTTTAAAATTCCTGTGGCCGGACACGGTTACTCGAATGCAGGACCTGGCTCAGAATTCCGTGGTGGAAATTACCCACCGCTTAACCACATAAGTACGCCTTGTGTTTAACTAATATTGACTGGAAATGCAATACGCGCGGGGTAGCTGGGATGCTGTGGGGGCCCAATGCCCGTGTCGTATTACAAAGCAAAACGGCACCAAATACCGAGGTCCAAGTCTCACGCAGCCGCCTGAGATTAAACCATGGTGCTTATTGAGTCTCAGCCTGGTCACCGATTTAAATAGCAATAATAACATTCTATGTTTACCTCGGAAAGCCTCATCGGATAGCTCAAGACTTTTTCGGGAGGGTCCAGTTTGGTCATTTCCCGTCGGAGTATTTTTTTTTTACAGCAGGGAGGTAGACCCACAACCTACTTGCTGTACTGCTTTACAGGCAATCCTCTTTGGCCTGCAGGTGGCTGTCACGTGAACGTGATGTTTACTCTACGTGATGCCTAGGATGTGCTTGATTTCAAAAAAATATATCGTCCAAGTATGGCCAAGCACGAAATGTTACCGTTGCCACTGAATTGGGGCAGCCGGGTTTGTAGCGCAAGCGCGCTAACTGCTGCGCCACTGCTCCCCACGATAGCCCCCCACCCCCCCCACCCCCCCCACACACGCGTTGCAATACCTGCAACTTGATGTCGATGTGGCTCAGGAACTCGCGCGAGGCGTCTCTCAGGGTCCTGTCGAGACGCTGCGCCGTTTCCTGCTTCGACTCCTCCATCACCGCCTGCACGTTCTGCATCTCGCTCCGGATCATGTTCTCCATGGCCTCAAGCATCATGGCCTCCCTCTTCTGAGACTTCTCCAGCATGATGAAGAGCTTGTCCCAGCGCACGAGCGAGGGGGACGGCTTTGCGGCGCACTCGCAGCCTGAGGTTCGCACGCGAAGACAAAAGTTCCCCGGGTAGCCTCGCTCGGACTGCCGGCACGCAAGGGTTGTTACAGCAGCGCGCAGCGTCAATGGAGGGAGTGCGGCCGGTGAAGATGTTGGCCCTGAGCGGGAATCGAACTCGGGCGAGCGGGTTCGTAGTGCTAGATGTTAAACACTGCAATCCTGCTCCCCACACCGTCTTATCTTATTTTATATTTATCCTGTGCCATTCACTCACGGCGCCTGACCTGATTAAAGTAAAACGTTGACAAAATAGTGATTTCGATGACCAGGAGCGTGGAAGGATTTAGCAATGAGTGACAGCATCGCGGGTACTCCGGGATCACGAAAGGGTCGGGGAGGGACAGGAAGTCGTGGAGGGACGAGGGGAGGCAAGCGGAAGAGAATGGGCGATCGAGAAGAGGTGAGCGTTAAGAGAGGAACGGAATGAGGTGAAGGACAGAGACTGAAGTTCACAAACACATTTTGCCTGGCTATGATGCACCTGCAACCCGGCCTGTACTGCTCTAAAAAGGAGTGAAATTATCATCGTGCAGCTCATTAACAAAAATAAGGGAAAATTTTAAGGCTCGAGTGTAATAATTAGAATAACGAGAGTGTAAGTATGTGCCAATGATGAGTATATGTCAAGGTTTCTCCTTTTTTAAAATGACTTTTGGGCGATACTCATCTTTGTTGATGGTCCTGAACCAGTGGTGGAATTCCACATTCCTATGGTGAGGAAGTCTACTATTCACAGCACAACTGCCAGTGGCTTCGCCCAAAGTATTAAAAGGTACTCATCGCAAATGGGTTTTGAGCGGTGCCCATGTGCATTGATGGCATGGATCATTCTAAATTTTAAAACCGCTTTTGAAGTGTCAAAATGTGGTAACTTATCGAAGCAATACTCTTTGCTTCTTTCGGTAAAGTCACGTAGGTATAAAATAAAATAAATCACGACGTTTCGATCGCAACACAAGCGGTCGTCCTCAGGCGGAAAAAAATAATCATCCAGCAGTGGAATTGCTGAACCAGCGAGAGAGCTGTTACAACAAGGAGGTTATATACGTGGCGATGGGCAAGCAGGCGGGGTCTGAGCTGGAAAGGAATTCCACCCCCGGACGCAAGCACCTCAGTCGTGTTAATGGGGGATGACTTTAGCGAAAGAACCAAAGAGTATGGATTCCTGCAGTCACGAAAGCTTCAAATCTTTATTGAAGCAACTCTAATGCGATCACAATAATAATTGTAATCTACATTCGTAAGGCGCATTTCATCTGCAGAGCCAAATGCGCCATGTATGGAAAGCGGGAAATCAACAGAACCAGGGTAAACGGCTCGAACTAGATAGGAATAGAGGCCAATTTAAAGAGGTGAGTTTTCAAAGACAGACTTAAATATATCGAACAACTCTATCTTATTAGCAAAGACAACGCGTTCCAAAGCCAGGCTCGACCCCGAACGAGGATTTCAGATAACGCCATGATCGAATGATGGGCTCTTTGTCACCGGACCACCCGCCTAGCTAAAGTTGCGCCTAACTATAATAGTAGTATGTAGAACTTCCTTCGCACCTTACGTAACCCAACCGTGTCAAGCAGAGCTGCGGAATAATACATATTGTAATTCAAGTATGAGTATGCATGCACTGTGTGCTTTTTTTTAATAACAGGTGTATGTGCATGGCTTGCTTCCCGTTGTGTGAACTCGCCGTTGCTATTCACGTCACCTTATTATCCTCGTATAAAACAGAGTTAAAGGCGCGGCCCTGCAATTCCCTGCTCTGCTATCATTTTGTAACGCAGATAAATACACTGATACCACGTTACAGCACGCGCGATAACGTATTGTGCAAAAATGCACATTATAAAAAAATGACACTAACAGCACCACGCACTGAGACAACGTCAGATCTGTTCACGAAGCACGTGATTAACATGGTGGTGATGATGACGATGAGGCTCTTTGGACAACCACCACTTTTGCATCCAATATTCAGCAACCCCAAACGATTAGACATTTTTTTTTTAAATTAAATGCAGCGAACAGCACTGTCGCCCCAGGTGGTGGTGGGGCTCACAGATACCCCCTGTGGTTCATGTCTGGCACTCTGCATGCTAGGGGAGGGGGAGAGGGATAATCCATCTATTAAGAACAAGGCACGGGATTTACTCTGTGTGGGTACCTCCCAGTGAACTGAAGTGCATCGCGAATCATTCCCTCTGAGCCAAGAATACAGCCATAAGGAACATTTAGATCTTTCCCAAACATTTGGCCTGCATGTGTTCGCGCGCAATAATTCGTGGTCGGAGCATTTTGGTTTCTGCTGACACCTCGGTAACACTGCCGCACCTCTACTTGGGGAGGTGTTGGTGGGAGGGGATCCCGATCGCTCGGTATATATGGTGAATGTGAAATGTATGTCAAGAACCAGAGAGAGAATTTGAAGGCTGGAAAATGGATGGCTTGCGGGCAAAAGTGTAATTAATGGTTGCTGCGGTTTGAGTGAAAAGTGACGCGATCAAAATCACCTTTGGTGATCATCTGAGGCCATCCTGCTCCCAGGAGTGTATACAATCAGCGCCGCCTGTGTTGCTTCTGTTCTGAGTTCTATGTTTGCTTCGTTGCTGTAGTTAACTTTGAATTGTTAGCCTTTGCTTTTGTCATTTCGGTACCGACACCGGTTACTCTCGAATTTGAGACTCATCCTGGTCTCTCGAGTTCTCACTTGATGAAACAGAATGAACTTGCTCCTGTTGTTCGCCAGCGGAGAGACTGAGAGGCTGACCCCTGCCATGGCAATTCCCACCACCGTCCTCAGGGCTGCCGACGTTGGCGCGGATTGGCCACGTGCGGCGCGAAAGACGTTCAGCATGCAAAAGCAGGACACGTTACGAGTGGTGCCGCAATTGCCTGTTTGAGCTGAGATGCACTCGGACTTTGGCGGTCACGTGCAACGAGGCGCAGGGAGCCCCTGAAAGCTCTGAACGTCTGCGCGGAGCATTCGAGCGTTGCACTCTCGAATACGTCGGGGGGGGGGGGGGGGGTCCAAGGTGCTCCCCCTCTCCTTCCTGGCGCTAAACGCTCGTCAATGGAATTGGCCAAACGTCCCCGATAGCCTCTTGAACAAAACAAAAAAATAAGCAACCAAGCGACTTAGTGAGGCATTCCCGGTTAGAGGGCATTATTATTATTAACAGTTATTCAATTTCACAATATAATAGGTACATAATAGGTATTTAATTTTAGTGACATCACTTACTTTGTGACAAGGTTATGCAGTGTATTTCATGGAGGGTATGCATTTTGATGCGTTTTACCGAATGAACATTTACATTTTCATTCAACCGTTACGATTTGTGTTTTGTTATTTACAGTTATTCCAACGCGAGAGGAGCGGTGGCCACAGCGGTTAGAACATTGCATTGTGAACCCGGCGGCCTGACCTTAACTTACCCCGCCATAGCTAACATTAGCCGCGAGTGATGTCAAGGTGAAGTATGGTCAAAACCACGACGCACTTACCAACACAGCACGACGAGGCCTTCATTCAGCAGTAGATCGTCAAAGGGGGCTTGTAAATCATTGGGTATTAATTTCAATGCACTTGGTGGATATATAAATCCAGCAGCCTATCCCTTGCAATAAGGGCAGTTTTGGCTTAGAAGGAGAAAGCATTTCAATGTAAGCAGATGTTATTTGAAATTGTAATGCTTTTTTTTTATATCTATAATCGCGCCAGTTACTGAAGTGGCTTATGCACGGGATTGCACTGGGAAAACATGGTCCAGCGAACGGATAGTGTGAGCGAGTTGTATGCTGTGCTGTGGTGTGAGTGTTAGTGGGGAGCGGTAGGGTAGCGGACCCGGCGATCTGAGTTCGGTTCCCGCTCACGGCCAACACCGGCGATAATCTGAACCGGTCATGGGCCTCCGCGAGGTCGACTCAGCCTCAATTGAGGACCCAAGTGGGACAGTGGGATGTGTAGAAACATTGTCACGAGGGAGACAAAGGCGGCCGGGCGTGGTGCTGGCCACCCATCACCTCGTGTGCAGTTCCGGCCTTCATAGGTGCTCACTAACGGCACTTGCCCCTACAGTCTGTTAAGGCTATACTGGGGGGAACTTTGTCTTGTTTTTTTGGTGTGTTAAGGTGCACTCGTGCACTGGAGTCTCTGCACACAAGAAGCACTCTGCGTGTAACTCAGAGGGGATACATCATGGCTGTCAAAGGTGCTGCCCCCCTCCCCCCCAAACAAAAGAGAAAATATACATTTTTTTGTTTTCACATGGAAGTTAGACTGAGCCTGTGTGACTGCACAGCTATGTGGGATGAATTATTGCTTGACAAAAGAAGGTCATTACAGGTGAGAAGAAAATTACGCATGAATGAATTATTAGCTACTTAATCAAAATATGAACCTCATGGCGGGACCCCGGGGTTCCCATAAGCCCCCGGCTCTCGCATAAACCGCATTGCGACATCATTTTACGCCTGTTGAAGGCGAACGACACAGGCAATCTATATCCTCGCGACGAGCTCTACACGATGCGCTAATCAAAGTTTAAAAGTTGTGTTTCTTCTTGTTGCGCATTCGTCCTCGCCGCCGTTGCGCTTGGACGAGACACGACGTGACAAACAGAACGATCCGCGCCGGGTGGGTCGCGACCTTTATGTGCGCCGGGTGGGACGGAGTCGCCAAAAAAATAAATTGACTCATCACGATTTTGACTTGCGTTTAGTCGGGACCCCGGGGTCCCGCCATAAGGTTCAAATATGGATCGGTAGCAATGTGGTTAGATCATGCGACCCACAGTCAAATGTTTAAAATCCCAGCCCTGGAGGTCATGGAGGTTATCTAAGCCCATAATTCTTCTGGCATTCATGAAACGAGTACCACGTAAATGGCAATAGCCGCTAGGTCGCCAGGATAAGGCAGTGCAGCAGTGGATTCTTGTATCAATCTGTGCAGTGTTTGGAGTGTTACTGACTCGCA